GAAAATAGATAGTAGCCGATTCTCAGACCTACTGAATACGCATATAAAATTTGGTAAAAATCGGTAAAGCCGTTTCGGAGGAGTACGGTAACAAACATTGTGACATGGAAATTTTATATATTAGATTTTTATATATAAGATAGTAGGTAATGATTAATATCAATTATAATACAATGATCGGACTTCTCTTATAAACGTCAAACTTTATTATTCTTATACGGCGAAATGGCTGAACCGTATAGAAACACTAAGATACAGCAAGCTACATACATAAGTACCTACCGAGGGACTCACTAGTATAACAAAATAATTATAAAATTAAGTATTATACAGCTAAATCTAAATATTATGGCGTCTCAAATTATAATGTCTTAGACTCACCGCTTGCGGCAACCACTGCCTTTGTACATTTTGTCAAGTTAATTAACGGCACTTTGTCGACTCGGAAACTTAATTGTTAATTTTGATTACGCTTAATTAGTATTTTAGACACTTTAATTCTACTCATTATAGAATAGGTATAGTAGTAGGTACTAGGTTAAGTATATTTTTTGATTTAGAACATGAAAATTTTATTAAATTCTAAGTCATTTATTAGAGCTCAGCTCAACTCAACTCAACTCAATTATAAGTTTCAGTAAAACTTTATAATTATACTAAATCAGAACGATAGGTTATAATGTGGTATTTTTTTTTGCTTATTAAAATGGAGTAGATACTTGAATTACTCTATTTCTTTGTTTCTCAAAGTCCAAGTTTTTTATTATGACAACAAATAAGAAAATAGGCAAACCCGTAAAAGCTAAAAAAAATATTATATTTTAAAAGTTATATTAAATATTTGAAAATTGAAATTGAAAATTTAATTTAAAATTTTATTAGAGTAGGTGAAAATGTGTGGCATAATTGTTATAGAAGAAATATTTTCCAAGTAACAAAAAACAAAGCAAGTGGACAAAGCCAAGGTGGTCATATAACCGAAACTACCAACTATAATTATCTATTGATAGATGTACCTACATATTTTATTATTTTTGAAATTTATTTTGCGTTTTATATCGTAGTGATTAAAAAATAATCGATTTGTTACTCATATCTATTAAATACACCTTTATAAAAGAAATAAAACTCTTACATATACGTGAGGTATGATTTGACAACTGACTAAAATCAAAAAATTACTTGATATTCCAGTCAATTTATATAAAAATAATTCGTATTATATAGCACCTAAGTAGCACCTATTACCTAAAAACTTAACCAGCCTCACTTGACTCTACATTCGTAGAGCTAACGCCATCTAGTGACGTTTCATAGGTACTTATTATATAATTTTTTAAAATTCACAGTTTCCAAAGACCGTCCTAACAGAATCATACACTATAGCAATATTTGCCAAAATAGTAATGCCTAACAGTATGAAATAACTAAATCAAACATTAAACAAGGGATGAAAGGGATTTACCGCATAGTTTGTCAACCCTTAATTAATGAACCCCGAATTAAACGCCCCGAGCGATGTCTGTCTAACATTTAGAAGCCTTGCATTCAGAATTACTAATATATATTTATTATTATACATATTATAACCAGCCATTTATTTGTAATCGAAATACTTATAATTATGAAAAATTATACATAGTAATCTTTTAAAAGTGAGTATTTTGTAAAAATATTTATGTTTAATGTAATGAATTGTATCTAATTTAGTCGACTTTATATTTTTTTCTGCTACTAGTGGATTACGACCGCGACCACGAGATCGCGAGCATCATATAAAGAAATGGTCGCTGCGACCGTAACAGTAATATTTATGACTAACTAACTCCCAAATATGACGACCACTGGAAGTAGCTGATTCGATTCCCGCTAAGGACAAATATCCATACTGCAGTCTGATTATATCATTTTTAAGAAGTTCTGTAGAATATATTTATTTATTTCTACGATATTTAATAAAATACCCAGGTATATATGGAATAAATATAATTCTTTCGACATTTAAAAAGAAAATAAATTAATGACTTATTTATTAATTACGATCATAAGGTTTTTAAAAATTATCACCCATAAAAAAGGTTTCTTAATTGACAACCTCATTATATCATAAGTACAACTTTATAATACAATATTTTTTATTTCAGATTTGAAATTCTACCGTTTGACGTCAATTGTTATAATGAAGATATTTTTTCCCCATCAAAATTGAGTTAGCAGAGTGTTTATTATTAGTATAGTACATAATTGCACCTCAAGACAAGCTCTTAACCGCAAGGTTATTTAAAACAACTGTAAGACAAAAAATAAAAGCTTATCATTAGCCGACTCTTTAATTCCTTCAAAACGTTTTGTCAATCTCGCAGTGTGTTATTAAAAATGGCTAAACATTAAGGACCTTGGATCAGTAATGGACAAGTTAGAGATCTTTAGGTAGAGCTATCAAAAGTACTAACTTTTATAGCAATTTTAAAATTCTAGCCTTTGTTTTTTTTTAAGTTGATTTCTTTATACAGTAGATCGACAGATAATATACTCGTAGATGTAAGGCTGTTTGATATTTTGTTTTCGTCTTTTTTTTTTCATTATAATCTTTCTTCTATAAACTACGAGTAAACTAGTTTAACTATTTTCTTGATATTTCTCTTTAAAAAATTTAAATAAAAAAATTAAAATAACACTTTTAAACTTTTTATCCTATGTACGAGCATATGTACCTATAATGTAGTGTTTAAGTATATTTATATTATCAGTTATGATATAGAGAGAGAGAAACTCATGATGTTTTTATGTTTGCAATTAAATTAATTCAGACAAGAGACAAAAAAACAAGGAAAATACTAAAAATTTACATATTAAAATATAATATAACTAGCCGCTACCCGCTTAGCTGAGCTTACGTAAATGTTTCTTTTGGTCTTCAGAGATCATAAAGCACCTATATATGGTTTTTCGATAATATTTGAGTTAAAAAAAGAAATGAATAAAAAAGCGTAACGTCTTTTACTTTTATTGGCGAGAAAATAAAATATTTATGAAAGTGAATAAACAAATGGTAAACGTTGCGTGGAATTCAAAAAATAAAACCATCTACAGACGATCCCGCATCGATAGGTCAAAGTCTCATAACAATATGTTCAGTAATTTTTGCGTGATGGTGTGATAAAAGAAAATCGTTTTCATCTATAGATATAATAAATTCTAACTAAGCCGAATCTGTGCATTAAATATTTTTTGGAAAATCGTATTGAAATAGTCGTTTTTAGTATTTTTCTGTCTGTCTGTTCAGGAACACAGGAGAAAATCACTTGACAGATTTTGGTGAAATTTGATATGATAATAGCTGGTTATCTGGGTCAATATAAAAAATACTTTTTACTGCGGGAAAATATCTTATCTCTGAGAAATCTATGCAAAATTCCAAAAGTTAAACCGTAACTAGGGACTCGAGACGAACCCGAGCGGCGAGAGTGTGAGTCGCTTGTTATAGCTATATAGATAGATTTTATTTCTATAAATAGTAGAAATCTAGACAATACACTACTACAAAACTATACGAAACCTTTAGTATTTATACAGGCATCCATTTTATTATGAGTAGGTAGGTACTAAAATTGATTTGACCTATGATAATGAATGAGTTTTATTCGCTACCCTATAATCAAATTGTGTTCTCACGACAGTCACTAAACTATTATTGCAATTAATCTTAATATACATCACCTTTTTGTTACAAAGTATGTATATCTTTAAAGGAAGAACTTAGTACAAGTTTTGGTAACATTTAATACAGTTCAAAATATAAAAAATAAGATTGCATTGTACAGAAAATGCTATTTAATGTTTATTTACTTTATTTCCACTATTATTAGTTATTTCAATTATTATTATGTAATTAATTAACATAATTTTTTTTTACTAATCATTAAAATACATTTTACGTACGTAGAATTTTTTTTTACAGGTTTTTTTTACAATGGTAAAAAATAAGAGGCTCGAGAAGAAGATGAAATATTATTGCCGGCTAAGGGATTTTTACTGCTTTTTATTATTATATTAGGTATAGAGATGATTTTTTTAAAAGATAAAGCACATATTTTTTGGTGATGTTTACGTCATTTCCTACTTAAATATAAAAAGTTTGACGTCAACTGTTGAATTTTGTAACAATTAAGTGTGATTTTGGCAAAGTAAATTATTGTGTTATGTTTTGCGCATTTCCACACGACATTTACATAGCGCAAAGAATGAACTAAGAAACTCATCAATTTAATGAAATATTAACGTAATTTAATTTATACTTTTTTGTCACAAGCAACTAAATATTGGTTTTTTTTTAATTAATAAAAAAAAATACTTACTTTAAACAATATTTTTTGTCTTTCAAAATATTAGTTTAGTTAAAAATTCCTTTTAAGTTAAAATATTAAGTTAGATCTCGTTAAATAAATAAGTATTAAGAAAGCATTATTATTAACCAACTAAAATGACAAAAATATTTTTTTCACTTGGATACAAGACAGGCTCCCACCATGAACATTGCTAACAAAAACCCGTAACCAGTTCACCTCCTCAATTCGGTATACTCACCGTCGTAGTAGAAATAAAACCAATTGTAGTTTTCCTCAATGAGTTTATTGCGCCAGAACAATAAATGAAGCTGATCATTATAACGTTTACTTTCAACATCGATTACGAATACTCTACACGATACCATATCGTACTCCGCCGAGTCCATTAATATTTATAATATTGGAGTCTATTGCACTGCGCTTCACATACGCCAACATAATACCCAAGCGGTAATGTCCCTATTAACTTACAGTTCGTGGGATCGATAATTACGATATATTTGTCTAAATATCACAAGAAAATACAAAACGAAATATGATAGAAATAACACAATTAAAATTATTAACAATTAAATATACAGAGTCTGTGCGCCGTGGGCTCTAGGAAGTGAGGTATCACCAAGATGCGCGAGGGTTGTACGGGGTGCGTCATGACACCGGGACATGGTGCTGGTAAAGCTGGTCTTGTCGCTCGCATAGAGAAGTCATTTTCTTGTAGGATTCTGAGGTCTCGCGAAAAAGCAATTTAGCATCGTCCCGAGGACGCGCGTGCGCTGCGTCTAGCCGCCCCGGTGATATCACAGGGGGAGACGACGCAGACAAGGGAGACAGAGACTCGCGAGCAGACTGCACCCCTGTTGGCGCGTATAAACCACCAGGTTGAGGCGTCCCACTGCCCATCAGAAACGGACTCGGAAGAAACCCTCTATCGCCGAATTGTGGAAACATACCAGCTTGTAGGGCAGTTAAGTTTCTACTATAGAACTTCATTGTTTCAGTCACATAAGTAGGAATTTGGGAAGACTCGTCGCCGCCGTATCTCAAGCTTTCAAGTGTTGATGCAAGGCCCTTGATATCGGCGTATAATTTATTAAGCAATTCTGCGTTAACTTCAAAAGATGGTTTCTGTTCTTGATTTTCGGGTGAACCTGTAGACAAAAGGCGTCGATGCATATCTACGTTTAAGCTGTGCCTATCCCGGCTCCTTCGTGATGGAAAGGCCGCATCACAACCATTTACATCACACGGATGAAGCAATTTCAAGTGATCGTTTCTATAATGCATTCGCAATGTAAAGTGGTTTTGAAATATTTTTCCGCATGCTGTACATCGGTCTGGATTTTCATCATCTATAGGAATTTCGATATCATTCATTTCAGATCGCTCGTCTGTCCTGTCACTGCTCGCTGACGGCGATCGAGCTCGAGCCAACCGTTCTTCTAATGTATGCAAATCACTTCCGCTGTCACTCGGTGTATAAAGATCTGATCGTAATCTCAACCCTTCTCGAACAACGCTAGGCGCACTAGATTCATCATCAGATTCACTTTCTGTCTTTACTCTCGTTACTGATTCCGCGTCCACAATTGCTTCCTCACTTTTCTGAAATGGCTCCCATTTCTCGGGTTTTTGTTTTTTTAGAGACAAAGGCTCTTCATCTGTTCGACTAGAACTAGGAGTAGACAAATTTCTGAATAAATCACCATTATACTCCTCATCAGACACAATATATTCATTATTTTGTGAGCATCTCGTAGGATTCCCACTTTTTCTCTTACGTTTGTTAGGAACCAAAGGCGATTTATCATCTGCAGTGGTACTATCAGTCCTTGCACTAGGGTTAGACTGCGTACTTAAAGATTTAATGTCATCATCTTTCTTTTTATTTACACTTAAATCCTCCGGCTCATCAATGTAGTTCAATCTTTGTTGGTCTTGAGGTTCGAATCTTTCAATTTTTTCTTTATTTTCACTATCGGAAACATCTTCATTGTTTTCACTATAGTTACTTGATTCTTCTTCATGTGACATAGGCTTTACAAGATCTAATGCATGGCGGGATTGATTTTCAGGAGATGGTATTTTTCTATACATTTTTTCAATTTCACTGAAGTTACGGAGATCATCAAGCGGTACACGAGGAGGTAGATGATTAGGAGGAGGTGCAGATAAAGGAGGCGGAAGACGAGCCGCTAATTCAGGTGGAAGAAGCGCAGGCGGTGGTAATGGTAGACGAGCAAGCGCCGGCAAGAGCGGGAACGGCTGCGCAGACCTGCCGTCGTGAGCAGAAATCTTACGTCTTACATGAGGAGAATGCAACTTCGGGTTCGGATTAGCGCTGTGGCGGTTCCGCGAGCGCCGCGAACTAAACATCATAGTACACCCCTCCACTGTACACTTGTGCATCTCTCTTAGATGCACGGCGGAAAAATGTATTTTTAACGCGCCTTTATCGCAAAAAGTCTTAAGGCAAACATTACACTGCACTCTTTTCTTTCCTGTAGCGGGATTTACAAATTGAACCCCTAGCCCGAGAGGCCAAGGCGCAGGCGGTGGATCGCGACGTTCCGGCATATACTCGGGTGACCGTCGCTCTTCACATTTTTCTTCATCTCGGCCGCTGAAACTGGCGCCTAATTTTCTGAAGTCAAACTGTGGCGCGGGATGGCTGACACGAGGCATCATAAAATAGTCCAATCCGGCGGGTAAGCCGGGAACCGCACCGAACTCTTTGCCCTCCATCACGTCACTGTCATAATATAGCGCGTAATACGAAGCGGGTGGCGCGCGACGCGGCCGCTTTGCGACTGAGGACGTGCGACACAGGTGACCGCGCGGGCGGCGCGCGACAAAGGCCGGTGGCTCGGCGGGGGGGCACGGCCGGTGTGGGGTGTGGGGGGACAGGTGGGAGGAGCGAACGCTGGGCGGAGCAGATCGATGCGCAGTGGGGACAAGCGACACTCGCTCTCGATGCGAATACTGTAAACACGAGAAGTAAAGCATCACATGTAGTTACGTAACTCCATACACGGTAAGTGCATACACTGCGTATCTCGCGTGCATCACACAAAACACCTCGTTATGTGCAGATACGCTTCAAACAAATCGAGGCAATCCATGAAATTAAGTGGTTAAATCTTTGCCGCAATATCTAGATTCATAAATAGTGGAATCCTACATGTTTTGAATATAATTAGTTCTTATATAGATAACATAAAATATGCTGGATAAACATGCCTCTATTTTATCAAAGAATCGAAATAAAATATTTGATTTAATATCGAATTATTGAAAGTCGTTCCCAAAACAAAAACCTTACATCGTTCTCTTTGTTTATAAACGAGCCTCTTTGTTTGTAAACAGATAATATAGGTTAGCAAGCATTATAAAAATCCTTTATTGTCCTGAACTTATAAGTATTTCACAAAATATCCTCACAAAAGCAACACAATATTAAATAATATGTGTACTTATTTCAATTAATAACAATTAATATGTCTAATCTAAACCGTATGCACGTTTATATTGATGCTTACCTATTTCATTAACAATCTCAGACACTACAGCGATGATTATCACTTGAAACATAATAATTATGATTTCGAATTAAAATAATATATGTTATATATGTTTACAAAAACTACAACAGTTCTATGATTAGATTCTCAAATATAGATACTTTCTAAATAATAACAATATTACAGTGACCTTGTTTGGTAAATATCAATAAAAGGATAGTCTAAGAACGCTAATATTTTAAGATATTTCGCTTAATCTGGTTTAGGATATATAAAGTACTATGTTTTAGCTAAAACTAACAAAATTAATTAATTAATTTATGGATCATTAAAAGAATCTTTAACGTTAATACTTATTAATATGTGCGCTATTTTTATTTATTTATTATGAGTGAGTTCTCTCTCGTAAAATATGTATATATAAAAAGAGCTTATATAAAAAAACACTTTTAGTTATGTTTGTTTAATGAATTTTAAATAGTATTTATGAAAAAAAAATGTTTACAGCCAGTCGCTACATATGAACAAATTAAGACGAAATATAGCTACGATACAAGTAACGCCATCTGTGATAGCGATTGAAAAGTAAGGATAAAATATTGAAAATTTATTGTTTAAAATTATATTATTTTATGTTATTTAAAGCACACTTTTGTTTATAATTATATTAAAATTGTATAATATAATTAAAATTTCAAAAAATCTAACCCACGAATTAAGTTATTAAAATGTAGAGATTATATTGTGGAATTATGTATATATTATAATAAGAAAAAGCTATAATATACACTTTATGTTAGTTACAACATAGTAAATATATGTATATAACAAACAATAAAAATACTATGATTTTCTATAAATATAAATATGAGATCTAAGTCATTAAGATAGAATTTCCAAAACTCTCCCAACGCACCTTTAGCATAAACAAGGTAGAGTCCCAAAATTGTGTATAAGTCTCTTTCATATCATCAAAAACAATTTTAAATAACTTCATACAATTACCGTGGTAATGTATATTTAAATCACTTCAAACATACTTTACGACAAGAAAATGCAAGCTTTTAAAAAGCCATTAAGCTAACCACCACAGACACACCGGCGGCGTTGCTTCGATTATTTTCTTATGGTCAATGTTAGTGCCATCATCCGTTTACATACACGTTTATTGAATACTTTGTTCTGGTTAACCGGATGTTCCTGTGTTATTTTAACTGAAAGATTTAATATATATTTTAAACTCTACAGATCAGACTAAGAGATTTATTGACAGAGTTTGAGTTTGGTTTGATCTATAGCCTAATTCAACTATGTACATTATGTGGATGTCTATATTCCATGTACTATTGAAATAATGTAAGTGTTGTTATAATAAATGAATTTAGTACGTTAATAAATTTTTAATAATTAAATGGACAATCTAAAATGAATTGTTTTCTGTTTTTGTAATAGGTACTTGACTAATATAAAGCAAATAAAATATATGAGACGAATATCAAATATCACTTTACATACAATTAATACCTTCAAAACGAGTAATTTATGCTTTAAACTTATATGAAACTAGTAGACCTGACAAATGTTGTCCTGCTTTAATTTTGTTTCTGATCTTTGAGTTCAAGAAAGAGAGAATAGATATAGAGTTTGGAAAAGTTTCCCGAATCTCCCGACTTCCCGGGCAATTTTTCCAAATTATGATTTCCTAAAAACCTTATTCGGTGTTTTTTGAACATTAGAAAGAAAAACACGTATGAAGAAAGCCCAACCGTTTCAACCGTTTGCAAATCGTGCATTTACCAACGAACAGCATATAATTTTTATGTTGATAGATGACGACTTATCTACTTAAAATTTAAATTTAATGTACATGTATATAAAAAATAAACAATTTTGTTTAAAATAATTTATTTAAAAAAAAGTATTTCAAAGCTTTATCTTCTACATCGTCCTACCATACATCAACTAAAGAAGCCGATCAAACGCTATTTTCTTCCTATAAACTCGTAGGCAGCGATACACTGTTTGATGTCGTATCGCACCTTATAAACGTTCTTGATTATTTTCAATCCCTGGAAACAGTTACAATTACTCGACTATCGTTGCCTCGCATGGTGTAAACATCTCTCATTTATTTCACGGCGCAAAGTGTGCACTTAAAGCGATTTATCGAAAAAAAATTTTTTTTTATAATCTTATCGTATAGTACTAAATACAGGTATCTATCTATATATTTTTAACATTGCTAAAATCAGTAAAAAAGTATCAGTCCAACTCAAATTTATTTGAATTTTTATTTCTGTTATAAAATAAAAAATAACTAACTACAAAATCTTAGGACTAGTGCGTAATAAATCTTTATTATAAATATAATATTAGTTCAATAGCATAATGTAACAAATATTTAACACAACACAGTTTTTTGTATGATTTTAAATATAAAATACACCTATAGTATTAATATAGTTGTATATATACAGTGTCAACATTTTTAATCAGATCTACGATATCCAGACCAGTTGTACTACATAGTATTAGACCCACCTAGGGTCACCTAAAACAAAATTAAAGTTAAGATATTTATGACAATAATTCTAGAAACCTTCTCCACATACATACTGACAAACAAACAAACACCGCTTTAGTACTGTGCGATAAAAACGCTATTTGTTCATAACTTGGACGCTACTACAGTCACCCATATTATACTGTCCGTATCGCGGCCCGAACCATAAACACGCGCTCTTTTTGTCCTAAGTGATCCGGCTCTGGTCAACGTTGATTTTTATATCGGATTGAGGTCACTTTACACTTGCTTTTTATTTATTTATTTTTTTCGACTAAGAACATTTGTTAATTTAAGATTTCTTAATAGATCAAACAGTTACAAATTAGACAATATATTTGTGAGTTCGGTAAATAATTCTAAGTTAGATAACCTTGTAACCTTTTATGCAAAATATAAAATATATTAATAACTAGCGGCTCACCCTCGCTTTGCACTTAAAACAAATCTAACCCACGGGAACCAGTACAGTAACCTATTTGTTATTCTGATGTATGAACTATATTATTGTAAAAAGTAGTTTTTATGTACTAAGCTGTATAAGTTACTATAGTTTTTTAACTAACCCACGGGAACTCTTTAACTTTACGGGATAAAACGTATCTAAAATTTTGACGGGGGATATAAGGTACCACCATGCAAAATTTCATTTAAATTGGTCTAAAAGTTTCGGAGATTAGCCCGTACAGACAAAAAGGCAGAGAAACATAATTAAAAAAAACTGGTTTTGTTCTATTTCTCTTCTTTCATTCTCCTGACTCGATTTTTAGCATTCGTTTTCTATGTACAGACATTCGACCTGTACAGTTTTATTATATGTATAGATATTGAAAATCATGTAGTTAAATTCTGTCTAGAACCTACAGTTACAATCATGAATATCTTGTTTCTATGTGGTTTTAATTAAACTTGCAAAATAAAATTTAGTAATTTTAATAATCTATATCAATATTTTTTTATCAATTTTTTCCTTACTAGCGCCAACCACATCCTATATACTCCCTTATATCGCGTCCGAAATATTTATTTTGAACAGCGGCCGCATATTTGTTTGGATTAAAAATATTTCTGGCCCCACTTGCGCACGACACCGACACTGAGTGGCGAGTATCGCTGCGAATAGACGCAGCTCACAAACAAACGAACTTTCATACTTTGTAACGAAATTAGGCGTCATCGATGCGGGGAATTATATCTTAATAAAACTAGTAGTGTTTTATTTTAATTACGTATATAGTTTTGTTAGGCAGTGGTAGCATAATAGTAACGCGCTCACTTTGGAAACCGAATGAAGTGGGTTCGAATCCCGGGTCTCGCACCTTTGATATTTTATATGATTACCACTCATCTTACAGTAGAGGAAAACATCGTGAGGATACCTCCTAGGAAAGCAGAAAAAGGCAAGGAATCAAGAAAGCAAGGAAACATGCTAGGTTCTCTCGGACATACCGAGAGAACGTGGTGAGAGAGCGTGATGGACTATGGCCCATATGGTCCCATAGGATCCCCCTCGTATTAAAGGTAATCCTGTGCCCAGTGAAACGTTAAAAAGAGCTGTATACAGAATTTTGTTATATCCTACCCAAGTCTTACTAAAACTACGTGTACGTGGTAATACAACATGTGCGCCACTTATCGTAACTTGTACTAAACCTTTACACTTATAGCATCAAGTAACGAAAGTTTTTCTCTATCGCTTCTTTTTCTGGGTGGATAGGATAATAAAATCCATTAAAATATCAATCGAAGAACTGACAAAAATAATCACGATTATTATGAAAGCTTAATATATCTACATGCATATATGGTAAATACAAATTTTAATGGCTCGAAACAAAACCTTGTTCAATTTTTTTATTCAACAATCGCCTAACGATCAAAGAAAACATCGTGAGGAAATCTGCATTTTTGATAGAACGTAA